TTTTCACGATCCATGTCGCAACGAATACAAATAAAACAGTCAGAGGAATACACCGATGCTAAGATTTTGGCCGTAACTACGGTAGAGTGGCTGGATTCATTTCTATCCAACCCGGGGTCGAGAGCTACCACTTCTAAAGCGTTAGGTTCTATGACTGTTGGCCTGGTATAAAGAGGCTCTAGTGTCTGCCCCTACTTCGAGGCAGTAGCCTTGGAAAAAGCATTGTTACTCCGCTCGAAGTCGGCCCTAGTTACTGCTGTCGCCGGGGTTTTTCCTAAACGAAAAATGCGTTATGTTGAGCGCGTCTCGTGACGTAAGACCGTTTCGTGGGTTCAATGTCAGGTGTAGAGATGTCAGTCAAAACAAAGTTAATGACAAAACATGTCATAAATATGTATTTACTCTAAAGTTGCTGTAGAGCCTGCAACAAAAGCACTGATCAAGACAACCTTGTATCACAGAATGGCGGTTGCGCGTATAGCGGTAGGCAGATCCTCAGTGCGTGAATCAAGTTATCCCCACGACTGCGACTCAAAATGGGCAACTTTATTAGTAAATCTGCCCGTATGATCCATAGCAAGTGTGTTTCACCACCATTCTATGACTGAGATGGGACCACCGATTCCTGAGAAGTGTCGCTAGAATCGGTGGGAACCAGCGGATTCGGAAGGAGATAATCAGGAGAAGGGTTTTTGGTGAGGCAAATGGTACTTCCTTCAAACACTGCGTCTGGCCCATGCCTTACGCGTATCCAGTCGCTGCCTATCGAGACGATCTCTGTTTATCGTGCCTAATTCGGATTGTCGGAAACCTAGAAGTGGACAGAAACTGACATAGCAGAAGGGAATGGAAGATGTAAAGGAAAGTTTGAGTCCTGTTGATGTTGTTTACCTTCCGGGGTGGGGTCTTCGTGACCCTTCCTGTGTTGACTGGAGACGATGGACGATATGGTGACGGTCAACCAATATTAGGGGCGCTCGTGCTGTCAGTTTCTGTTCACATTGTCTGACTGAGTGTTGGGGGTGTAGTCATCTCGGATGGTTGTTGTAGGGTGACGTGGCTACATGGCAGTGAAGCACCAGTGCTCTTATCTATTGTCGCGACAACGATGAGGACGATGATGATGATGATGACGATGAAGATGATGATGATGATGATGATGATGATGATGATGATGATGATGATGATGATGATGATGATGATGATGATGATGATGTTTCACCTACGTTGCTTGCGTGACCTTTTACCCACAGGATGCCTCAGCAGTAGTCTTCTGACGAGATGCATTCCGGTGAGAGTCGGGGCTTACAAACTGCAGCAATATACACGAAAATGTTATTCCGTTCTTTCTTCCATATCGAAGTAACATTTTCGAGCCAGTCTCACATATTTCGGTAGCAGACAGACTATTTTCGGAGGTTGCCTTCTGTACTTGCGCAGAGTTACGCTCAGGGAGACATTCCAGTGGTAAACCGGCCGATTTCTCGTTTTACCGTTTCACACGAACATGCTGTAACACGTGGTTTGACGGCGACCAACCTGGTGGTTTGGTTGCGCATTTGGAATAGGCAACATTCCAGCGCAGTTATCTGACGTCATTAGAGGACGCTTGTACAAAAAGTGCCAACACATTGTGTTTTCGTCTAGGGTATTTCCGTAGATTGACGAAAACCGTCCACTGTATGTATCTATTTCGACCGATTCGTTAAACACCAGTGTGGGTGAACTTCCGTTTTATGCGGTATTCGAATCATTAAAGCTCCCAGCTCAAAAAAAGATGGGCATAATCGACTGATCAGCGGACCGTGGTTAGTAGGGAGCATTGTGGGAAGACAGGATGTACTGATCGGCTTTTAGACTGCTTGTTGGTCCGTTTGTGATTGGATTCTATCCATATCACCTACCTTGTTGCTGACCAATCCACATCAGACATTTTGAAATTTGGTCACTTGACGTGTAAGACAAGCAAGTCTGACGCTCGAACTTCCCGAGTACCCTCTCAAATTATTTTTCAAGCCGAAGTCTGGTTATCCCCGTAAACAAGAGTGGTAAAGGGTATTCGAAAAAGCATGTTTGCGGTTTGACAATCCATAATGAGTGCCTTCCACCCTCAGTCATTTCGGCAGCAACTGAACTCATACTGTCGTGTCAAAGACGGAACAGTAAATTTTACCTGTATATTTCTAAATTGTAAAGTTGCATATTTGTATGCGACTTCTAAATTAAAGTAAGCTTTCTCATCTGATTGTCGGATTAAGGAAAATCGACAAAAATTTACTTCAGCCAGAGGGAATTTTTCCGCCAAATGAGTAGTATCCTTTCAACGAATTCGTATGGAAACTTACACTGAATGCAAGCCTAACTATGCACAAATCTTGTCACCGTCGTATGGCATATAAACCGGAAAAAACTGTTCTCAAGCTCGAATCCCCCACTGTTACTGTACAGATAGTGCAACATTGTAGATGCACCCTGTATAAACAATTATGGGAGTTAGCGAATATACACTCATTTGCAAACTAACTTGCTTTTTCGACAGACTCACATGGAAACCAGCTGAATCTCTCGTTTGTGATGTTCTCGACAGACTTTCAGCAACCTTACGAGTAGTACATTACAACTATGGGAGTCTTTATTCTGTGTTGACCTGATTTATTTAACCCTTCATATATGTAGTTGCTTGCTGAGAGAAACATGAGCCCCAGTCAGAAGCAGCAAAAGAGTTCCCATTTTCAAAACCGATTGTGCAGACAGGATTTTGAAAGCTAATACATAAGGAAAACATAAAAATCTAGAAAAACAAAGATCCATCAAGTCAACGGTACTTTTGTCATCATCTACAAGATAGAATTGTGGAACATCCACCCCATCATCGATGAAGAAAGCGGTAGGAAACTGACATTCTTGGATGTTCTCATCAATGGGTCGCAAAATGGATAACTAGAAAATGAGGTCAGAAGAAAGCCGAAGCACACAAACCAAATTCTCAGCTGTCATGGCAACCACTCAAAGTGTCACAAACAGAACCTTATACGGATTCTTTCTAAGCGGATCAAGACAAAAGAATCCAAAATACTCCAAAGAACAGTAACATTTACAAGAATCTCTCAAAAAGAGATATGAATGCCTGAGAAGTAATGTCTGGCGAATCCTCAGGAAACCCAACTTGCATAAAGCGAAGGCAGATGAATAACACTCCCGTATAATTAGAACATTTTTGAAATATCTGCACGATTGTTCCGACAGCATAACGTAACAAACGGATAACTCGAGGACAGAAGTGTCGGTGAGGAAGATCAACGGCGCACGCAATAATGCATGCAATGGTTGTAGTAAGAACTACTTGGGACAAACAGGAAAGATGTTTTCTACCAGACTAAAAGGAAGCAAACTTACCGCCAAAAGGCATGAGTATATTCATTCGTCTCTTTGAACGAAGATTAGGCAGGTTGACTGAAACAACGTCCACTTACTGGTCCATGAACGAACAATAAGTTTATGAAAGTGTGGAAATCCATCGAGGAAGTTGTTACAGCAAACATGTCAACACGAAGGATAAAAGAACTTTGGAACCGCAAAGCTGAAGACGCATGAGAAATCAAAAAAGAGGTGAAAACACCCTAAAGGGAAGAAAAAGCCACACTAAACAATGGAACACGTTGCAATATGAGTCAGAACCGTACCAATCAGAACCTGAACTTCTGGAGAGTAGTCATCTAACAGTCCAGTTGAATGCGGAAAATACAAAGCACAACGCAATCCAAATAGCGAATGGGCCAATGGAGTTATCAAGAGCCTACGCCCCAGATAACCAATCGGATCATTAAATAAAGGATTCCCTCCGATAAACGCAAGTAGATGAGGTGACACAGCTCTGCTGATATCTCTTCGACTGAAGATGAAATGTTTCATATCAGTTGCCAAGCTCGGGAAACGGACCAACAGTCACCCGATTCAAAAACCAATTAGAATCGTTTTGAATACATTATCTAGGGGACCGTTTATACAAGTTTATACAAGTGCAAGTGAGAATTGGTTGATTTACTGGCACTGGTAAATTGTTGCTCACTTTTAGAAGCGGAACAACCATACTTCATTCTCTGATGCCGATTGATGAATCTCCCAGCGTATCTTTGGAGAGTGGATTGCTAGGATGCGAAGTTTGGCGACTACGTTTGCTTTAAAAAGTGGTTGAAACGGTGACAACACTGTATCGGGTGATGTTGAATCCAAATTTTGTATCCGAAGGACACACGTGCCACGAAGAAAAATTGAAAAACAGCGACGGGCCTTATTTTCATGCAAGTATTGCATTGAGGTAGGGCTTGATAAGGAAATGTGCCAACCCGAGGTATCTCAATGTTTGTGATGCAGTTCTTCTTGGTATGGATGGTTGGTAAACGAGTCTTTGAAATAAAATGTGCTTGGAAAAGGAGGAGATATTTATGCTGTTGAATGATTTCACTTTTCAACCCAACACTGGGTAGACCAGCATTGAAATTGTTTTCCTAACTGCGAACACTACGTCTCTGCTACAGTTGCTTGACGTAGGTGTGTTCTGCACACCTGCGGAAAGGGACAGATGTATCTCCGATACCCTCTCAATTTGAAGACAACAGATGCTAAGAAAACTGCTAAAAATGAGATCTCGAGGTCTGAACACTACGCACATTGGGTTCACAACTCCGCGCATGAAAGTCACGTTATTCGTGGTATTCCGACAACCGATAGCCAGTGATATACAGTCAGATGACGGCTTACGAAGGAAATTCATGTGGCTGTTACGACACATGAAAAATGCACTCATTTGCATACTAATTTGGCTTTAATGAGAGACTCAAGTGAGTCACAGCACATCCTCTCGTTTCTGTTATTCTTCAGCTGAGATTCATGTTACGACACATGAAAAATGCAATGCACTCATTACTAATTTGGCTTTAATGAGAGACTCAAGTGAGTCACAGCACATCCTCTCGTTTCTGTTATTCTTCAGCTGAGATTCAGCTGAGTCGCTCGTTAAAACCAAACCAATGCGTCAATGAGTGTAGTTCGCGAATTTCGGCCAATACTGGTTCAAATACGACATGATTTTGACGGAAACTCGGGGGCTATAATAAATAACCAATAAAAATTTTTCAGCTGTAACACTCTTCCAGTGTCTATTTGCCATGTCACCTGAACGGAGCACAAGGGATAAGATACTGCTAGGTTGCCCAAGCCTAAGCAAGGGCTGTCTGAATGCAGGGGTTGGGTTCGAACCGCGAACCTTTCAGTCAGTAAGTTAGTGCTTTAACTACTGAGTCGTCTGGAGCTCCAACTCGGGGGCCTAACTGCGCCTAACTGATGAAGCTGATCGTTGGGTGCCTATGTTCTTCGGACGGATAATTCAGACGGCATGCAGCCTATAGCTGTCCAGCTTTGTGGTAACAACAGCCGAGAATGCGAGGTAGGGAAACAGTCGAACTGGTGAACAAGGGCGTTCCGTGAAATGCGTGAATATCCTCCACGTATGCGTCGTGATGACAGCCAGCTAGCGCAAACATATTTAGACATCAAAGCGATTTTTATAAGGTGTCTGGACTAACTCAACATTGAATCACCTTTACACTTCAATAGAGAAATCACAAGATTCACGGGGACAGCACACTAAAATTGTGAATCAACTTTTGCATGCCATTTCAGATTGCGATTTTGTTACGAGTCAGCTGACGAACAGATGTGAATAGAATCTGGATAGTGTACAAAAATCGATTTCCCGTCAAAGTCAACTAATTCAACGGAGTTTACATTAGAGTTTGAGAAGGTACAGTAATTTTGACCTGAAGGCCGGATAAAAAGTTGTCACTGGCGTCGTAGCATTAGTATAGTACGTCGCATTTCATTGTGAGTGGTAGTGAGCATCTTCAAACCAGTCAAAGCACTCTCCTGATGATGATATTTCTTCGCTCCAACGGGAACGGTGTTTTGTGCTATCAAAACGCGTTGGTAACAGACCATCTGCCAACCTGTCTCAAGCCAAAGGTGGTATGCCTCGTCAATGGGTTTGAGAACCGTTTTATGTCATGCGGGATACAGTGGTGCTTTGACTGAGGTTTAGCAAATTTACATGAGATAGATTTGTTTACTTCCTGGCTCTGCTGTGTTCGACAATATGTCATTGTTAAAAAATGTGCCTGCAAGGCATGCACAATACAGTTTTGCGTAACGATTTGAGCTGTTATTTTACTGTGTAATCACATGTGACCACTCAAATTAAGGTGAGCTGCTGTGACATCAGGATGGAAAGCATATGTTGCTCATATCAGTCGCGCTTACTCATTTCGCATGCCGTGTGCTTTTACATTGTATCTTCAGTGGGTTCAGGCACACCCTATTGAGTAGTCGAATACATCTCATCTGTCAGTGAGTTTTGGAAATCTGCCACATTAAATAAACTGCGTAACATTTTGAACAATGTGCATCTTTTGATGGCGGCTATGTAAACGGTAATGCAGGGCAAAATAGCCCTAATAGATGTCCAAGTTGAGTTTTTGTGTAAGGCCCTGTGGGGTTGTGCGAACCAGAACAGTCGGTAAACCGGAGTGTTCTAGAGACATGTATTCTAACGTAAGGTAGCTAGGAATGACCCCCCAACAGCGGACACATTTAATGAGGGTTATGATGTTTACCTAAAAAGCGGCCTGACAACACAACTTCTGGTAGTATTAGAAACAACACGCCTTTTTTGACGGTCAACAAGCAAAAAGAGTTTTCTTGCACCAAACGCACTTGTTGGGGGAGAAGAGTGGACTCAGAGCTACAGTGTGCCTCCGGTCTATCATCCCTCCGTCTATCAATTCGGCGTTCTACAGGACCGTGTGGCTCCGCAGGTCATCGCATGGGATAGTTTCCAGATAAACCCCGCCACTAATGCAGAAAGTTAAGCCCCATCACTTTTTGTCAGCTCCAATTTAATGTACGCACACAATCTTGACCTATTTTTGATGAAAACAATTCCTTATCCGCATCTAGACTCATTTTGTGCAAGAATTTCTCCGTTCGGACGTAAAACCTTAAATGAATTTTCTGACGCTTTCAACCCTCGTTCATGACAAGGAGACGGCAATAAATTTTTTGCAAAGCCACGGAGTGATCCATCAACAGCGTTTATGCAATAATGACCACCAAGTGACACTTTCAACTGTTTCTAACAGGTGGGGGTGTAATGCCCAACAGTGTTGGCAAGAAATCGGTCTTCGAAGGTGAACTTGGCTGGAGCTGTCTAGGATGGAGTTTAAGATAGTAATTCTATTCCATGTCGCCGGAAAAAACACGCAGGGCGAGTCCTTCCCCAGCAGTGAATTTTCGGAGGGATCTGCCGGGAAACTAGAGAAGTGTTCATGTATGCAGTGCCAGATCGAACTGCAGCCACTTTGATGGACACAATCCAGGCCTGCATCGCTCCCAGCTCAATCATCATCTACGATATGTGGGCATCATACCAGGAAATTGAAACGATATGAATTATATTAATGTCCGAATTTCATCCTCTTCAATAAAAACTGAATGTACAAGTTTCATATCCTCTTCTATCTTATTTTTTTGAATGGCGGTCTCATCTGGAACAGATTCGTTAAGAGTTCTTCACTGGAGTGAACAATGCGAATCGTGTCGTGGTCTTTATTCGCCGGTATACTGACCCGTACAAAGGATCGCACTGCTTCGGAAACCGGTGTTTTAAACAGCTTTTTGGGCGGTTTTCTTTCGTCTCGACTGAAGACGTTACGTATTCGATGCTGCAGATGACTTGTAGCCAGTCCTCCCATCATCCATGTCGGCTACGAATTCACGGGTTTTTGTCTCCCTACAATGAAGGATTCCAGGACCCCCAAAATTGATTCTATGATTGGAATCTCTTTATACCGGCATCCAGATATCTTTTGAACTGGTCTCTCGTGGACTCGTTTCATCCCTTCCCTCCAACACGCACATTCTTCCCCTGAGATGAGCTTTTCCCATCCTTCGCTAGCCCGTTCGACTCTGAAGTTATCACAGAATATTCATGGCCATATCAATAACGGTCGGTAATTAACAAATCCACAAACTCCTCACCGTCGACCCACTGAATTGTGCTTTAGTTAGTCTCCACCATCTGACACTGCGAAGTTTCTCCTGCATATTAGTAATAATTGTTCACCCTTTTCGGCGCCTAGCTGCCATGTCAAACTCAAACAAGGCACCAGGGACGAGATTCCGCCAGCTGGCCCGAACCTAGACATGCCTGACCTCCCGCTCGATTCGCACAGTCAAACGAACACCATCAACCTATCACCGTATCATGAAAAATCGACCGGTTCTCCTGCTCGTTGAGAATCGCCACGCTTTCTCGTGTACGCCTTCTCATGGAGTTCAGAAAAGCATTTGTTTTGATCAAATGTGCGTGACAGTATGATACACTTTCTTCAGGCAATGAGTATTGCCCCCCACCTCCGTTAATTAAGCTCTGAGCACGCAAACTGGGGCACACTTAGGAGAATAAACTCTCTCGGCGTTTGTTTAAGCCCTACACACACACACACACACTGGGATTTTCACTGTCCGAAAAGTGTGAGCACATGGCATGGCAATGCATCGAGTGCCCCACGCGAAGAGTACAGTGGTTTCTCGCCTGTATTATCATTCACTTTCTCGCTATTAACAAATGTGTCATGCGCTTGTGCCCACACTTACCTTTTTAACGACTTCACACACACACATCGCATGTGAGTACTTTGGCTGGCGCTCCGCTTATGCACGTGTTCACCTGGGATGCGTTACCAGTTATTTTTTGGCGGGATCATGTGGTAAAAGATCCATCGCAGGTATATGGGATTTTTCTTGCTGCGCCCCTCCAATACGACCGGGGTTTCCCGAGTTTTTTAAATCACTTGATGATGCAACGCGTCCAGTCGTATTGATAAAAATAGACTTTTCTAGCTAACCGTCCGCTAATGAAACTCACTTTGGATCTCAACGGCTCGGAAACAATTAGATTATTGTAAGAAGGTAAACCAACGCGCGATGAAACAAAGCGTAATCGTCAGTATTAAAGGCATACCATCATCAGATTGAGTGCCTGTCAGTCAGCTTTCGAAGGGTATTGGATACTGGGATGAAATTAGATCCGAAACCAGATGGGCAGTTGGTTGCCTTGGCATCTGACCAAGCTGTCCACAAAGAACTTCAGGTACCTTGTGCGAATAGGATCAGTCTGCACAAACGTCATTCTGGTAGCGGAAAATATTCCACCAACTCGTCCATGGAGATGTAGCGGAAGTTGAATTCGTTATTACGAGACAAATCATGACCTGGGTATTATTTTCCGTGGTTTAGCGTACTCTGTTGGTAATTTTCGGTTGACGGGACATGCATTGTCCGACAATGTCCAGTGTAAATACTCCCAAGGGAGTTGGTGAGCGACGGACACTTACTTGGCTCAAATCAAGCTGGTGACGTCAAAAGTGTTGAAGCATTTTTCCGTTTTTCAACTTTTCACTTATTCATCTGTTTTCTAAATGTGACAAGACATTGGAACGTAACTGGAGGTCAATAATTTTACGTAATATAAATGATTTACTGGAAAAGACCGCACTATGGAAACAGAAGTTCATGGTATGTCTACTGATATACAGCAAAATATATTATGAAAAATGGGGCACTTGTACCAGGCCACAGGCTACGCCAAATGTCTGCGCAGTGCAGTGTTTACACGCTTGATCGATCATCATGATCATCATGATCATGATCATCATCAACATCGTCATCATCATCATCAACAGCATGACTTCAGTGTCCAACACCGATGCTTCAGTGACGTACAACCATGATTTATTTGAAAGCCTTATTGTGAAGAAAAGAATAAAGATGGACAGGGAGGGGACTTAGTGCTAGCTTACCACCATCTTCCCGAGGCGCATACACTTACAGACATTCATTTAGGCAATCTGGTGAGAAACTGACAAAAAGAACACCACCGACATCGGTGGGCAGCCGTGTCTCCAACCAGGTTCAGTGGGTATCACGCATCCCCGTCCTGGAAGGTGAGTAGCACCGACAGCACCTAAGCGTTTCGTGATCTCCTTCATACTCCTCTGCCAAGTCAAGGGTTGGCCACCTCTCTGTTTAGGCCACTCCGAGTTGGGCATAAAAAACAGCTCTCTCTTCGGCAACCAGTGGTCCGGCATACGCAACACACGTCCCAACCAACGCAGCTTCTGGTGCTGGACACATTCTTCTATGGAAGTACCCGTTGCACAACCGAAAACGCGCTTTCTAACTGCCTCGTTACACATTCGCCGACACCAATCCACCCGAGGTATGGGTTTGAGACAACGACTGTCGACCACCTGGAGACTTCTGAGTTCCGCTGTTCGAACAGGCCAAGTCTCACAGTCAAAACAAAACAAAACAGCCCGCACTGTATCCTAATACACACGTCCCCTAAGGTTCATGGATATACCGCTTTGAAGCCATGGGTGTCTCAAATTAGCTATTTGAACATCAGGGTTTTGGAGACCTTCCAGCGTTCGTCTCATTATTTCATCGATCACAAAGTTAAAAAGGAATGGAGAGAGTGGGCATCCCTGACGGACACTGCTTTGTGTACGGAAGTTTTTGGAGAGCTCAGCGTGTACTCTCACACTTCCGGAAGTCTGAGAATACAAAGAACGTATTATGTTCACAAACTTCCGGGGCATTCTTTGATGGGCAAGCGTGTCAAGAAGAGCAGACCGATCAACCGAGTCGAATGCACCTAGGAAATCCAGGAATACTAGAATTTTGGGTCGCTTATATGTATGGCGCTGTTCTAGCAACTGACGGAGTGTGAAGATTTGGTCAACGAAACCCTTACCAGGCCGGAATCCCGTTTGATGCTCTCGAGTCGGTGTCTCGCGAGCCACCGTAAGGCGACGAAGCACAATTGACGCCAACAATCTCATTACGACCGGGGTCAAGCTGACCCCCCTGTGGTTACCACACTCACTACGAGTCCCTTTTTGAAAATGGACACTACCGCCGACTCACTCCAGTTGTGTGGGACAAATTCCTTTTCCCAAATGCAAACAAGCAGATCAGACAAGCGCTGACTGAGGACTTCCCACCATCTTTGAACTATGCGGTTGTGAGATCATTCGGACCAGAAGCTCGGTGGCGCTTGCAGTCATAAAACTCTGAGGCCGTAGAGGGTCCACGTTTACCGTCCATGGTTCTACGTTAAATGTGGACTCCAGATAAGTGATAGCTGGTTTACACAAATGTTGTTCGAAATATTCGGCCTACCGGTCGGGGAGTTCTTTTTTTATTCAAAATGGTCACTCCTTTTCGATCCTTGATAGTTTCGCCCACAGATGGTTTCTGGGTCGCACGGATCAACTGAAATAATCTTCGGGCACTCCCGCCTTTCTGTACCTCTTCCAGTTCCTTGGCTTTCTGTGTCCACCACACCTCACGGTCGACTCCCACGCTCTAGTTTACTTGTCGTCCGATAATTCGTCGCAACAAGTTGTGTTCGGGACCGGCTGGGATATTTCTCCAAGATTTAAGCAGCGCCACCGTTCGGTCTGATATCCAGTACTTGAGTGCACCTGGTGGTATCGTATCACGGCACGAGGTGGCAACCTCGTCTCAGTATGAGTTCTCATTTGATGGTGCAGCATTGATGTGGTGGTGGAGCATGATCGATACAAGTCATCTGATTGATTCTTGTAATGTGACTAGCTATTGGACGCAGTCCTTTCAATAGTAGTCACAATGAAGACTCTCTCACGTCATTCATGTCAGTTGTTTCATAAATTACTTTAAGCTGAAAACAGACCAGACTGCCAATAAATTCTTATTTTAGGGGCGTAGCCCTTCGAGTCTCACTGAAATGTCTGCAAGTAAACTACCTGCTCCACATTGTTACCTGCGATAAGTCCACCACGCTCTGACTGAGCAACGTATATCTGTTTATTTTGGTTTACTGCTGTTTTGAGAGCTCGAATTGCGTTACCTTGAGGAAGGAATCACAAAATCAAAATGGAAAAGTACTTAAATATAAAGGCCAAACAAACTTACCGCATTTTCATACCACTCACCAAATCAATAGCCAATCAATCAATCAATCAATCAATCAACAATCAATCATTCATTCAGTCAATCAATCAATCAATCGACCGATCGATCAACCAGTCCGTCAGTCAATCAGTCAGTCAATGGAGCATTCTATCTATCAATCCATCAACAGATCAGGCAACCAGTTAAACTATGTATCTATCTATCTGTCTATCTGTGTATGTTAATAATAACGGATTCACAGATCAAATAAATAAATAATAAATAAATAAATCAGTCAGTCAGTCAATCAATCGAACATTGACGGCTTTCGAAACCGAAAAATTTCACATTTCACCGTGAAGACTTCAGCTCCAATCAGGTCAAACTTTACTGCTCTTGAGTTAGATTCAGTATTTTCAGACCAAACCCCAAATGACGGCTTTCGAAACCGAAAAATTTCACAATTCCCCGTGAAGACTTCAGCTCGAATCAGGTCAAACTTCACTGCTCTTGAGTTAGATCCAGTATTTTCAGGCCGAACCCCAAGGTATATCCACCCTATCGCAGACGCTATCGTATGTCCGAATATTTGTCTTGCGAATGAAAATTCACCCTCATCAAGCTGACTTGTTTTACAAATACTCCCATTTGCACAAGAATTTTGTTTTAACCGGAGACTCAACCGAATCCAGCTGAATCTCTTATTATTGCTGGCCAGCCCTAGTCCACTTCAGTCAGTTCATGCATACCTCGTTCAGTGCAGCCCGATTTCGATACGCTGAACCGCATTCAAGGTTAAAATAAATAGGTTTTCCTCATAACCATTATGACTTTCATCCTTCAAATGCTTCAAATGAAAATTGCGGTTTGGACAAAATGACGATAGTGAACTTCAGGATGATCTGTTTCCAACTATGGCACTGCATTGGGAAATCCGATCTGGAACACCTAGCTTCGGGGTATCATTGACTTTCATGAATCCTTCACATGATCACCTTCTACAGGACGATTTTCTCTCAAAGATTCAGCTACGGTCTACAACCGTCCCACAGATGGCAAACCAAGTGAAACCAAAATTGTTTTCAAACATCATAAACGAGAGATTCAATTGAGTCTCCCGTGAAAACCAAATTGATTTGCAGATGAGTGTTTTCAAAGCACTTTGTCCAAATAGTTATTTCAGCTTTGTCTGAAATTATTGGATCCGATAATCACTCTTGGACAAAATTTGTAAACAAATAAGAATACACCAATCAAAAGTTTTAGACTCGTCATAATAATCTAAGTCGAACAGTGTCACGTTTATGATTCGGGGCAGGGATACAACAGCTATACGGTGACTTAACCCACCTGGAGCTTGCGAGTGGAAGGGTTACTGAATGGTACCCGATAGCTGAGTGTTTCGAATTCAACAAGCGTAGTATACAAAATCTTCCTCCTCTTTTCCACCCGGCAATAAACAGATCCATGCTCCTTCGTTTTTGTCCAGAAATTAGGTCATAAAGTCAGTGAATTGAAGTTTGGTTAAGAATCTGTCAACGATATGAAAGATCCCAGCTGGATCGATTTTCAATCAAATTCATTTGTGAGCAACCATGTGGCATTACATTATATTTCAACAGGATGCAACAGCAAAGGAAAAGGCTGGCCAATATAGTTTCTGGGGAAAATAACACGCAGGATTTCTGGGGTACTGCCCTCATGAAGGGTGCAGCAAGGAAATTGACTAAGTGGTTTACCCGGTGCTACAAATGGCTGGTAACTCCAGAATGGCGACCGAATAGATCAACTTTTGGTACCTCGAAGCTAGCGTCGCTTCCAGTCGTGTCACGTTTACTCAGTTTGAAGTATACACGGCTGTATTAGAGCAAGTTTGTAACTGTGTTTTATGGAATAGAATTTCACAAGAAATCATACTGAATCCTAGAGTAGTTTACTACTAAACTTGGGTGTCTGTCCTGATATCTCGAGTCCTGCACAGCGTGTCCAATGCTTTTCCGGCCTCACCACCAAGTCTTTGTTCCTGATTTTGGCGAAACATTTTTGCTACTGATAACTATATCAGTAGGTACAGTGAACTGACAGTCACGTTAGGCTGGGTGTTCGCTCACAGTTCCTCTTTCGGTGGTCAAGACGATACAGACGACTAATAACAGAGCTGTAAATAGTAACGGCGGGACTATCTCACTGAGCCAGATACCGGGTAACAAATCAGTGGTTAGGGATTCTGCTTGCTTTTAAGTTGGTTATATGCCCGACAGGCCGTTTTTTCAAATGCATGGACAGTATCGGTAGCCCGGTAGCCACGTAAGCTTTATCTTGCGGAATATTATTCAGGACCCACAAAGTAACTGTTTTATTTTCAGTTGTTGAGCATTGTGCTACCGATTTAGACCTGAAAACTGAATGAAAAGTTACGTCGTCATCTCTGCAATCTGCGATGGTATCTGGCGATGAAATCGATCTTTCTTAACTTGCTCTACGACCAAAGGTTACTTGTGGGCTACAGTGTTACATAGAGCCAAAACAAAGTTACGGTAGCCTTATAAAAGGTTAGAATGACGCAGCGCACCACGGTTCCACATTCATTCTGATCTACAGTGTTCTGGCCCCAAAAGTCTCGTTAGCAAATCTACTTGGAAGTATTTGAAAATGGAGTTACCAGGAAAGAGGTGAGACGGAGGACGATAGAAATCTAGGCTCTTCTCTCAGCCTAGCAACAATCACTGTGTTGTTTTATGCTGTTCTTACATCCTTCTCATTTTCCCAATGTTATTATTGACATTATCATCCTTCAGTATTCTACGCCGAAATAAGTGACGAACACTGAAATTACAGCACAAAAGAAGGCCACAGGTGTAGTCTTCTACTATCCACATCAGAGAGTCTTCTCCCTCTG